ATATCACTCAAACTCCAATGGGCTCATTCTGTTCGAGTTTATCAGGTTTGGTACAGTGACCTGCATGTACGAGTACTTAGACAAGTACATGAACCTGTCCGATTTGGTGAGGTTCAGTATGCTTTCTAGTGCAGGAGCCTTGGGGGGGTTAGGGTTAATGTAACATGAGTTATAGTGAAGTGCTATGGAGTTAGTGAGAGACTTCTGTTGGCTTCATATGAATCAGGCTGTAACATGATGCATGTAATTTTATTTTTAGGAGGGAGTGGAGTTTCTGAAGTCACAAGGAGCTGATCACCTCTTGCCAGAAGACCCTGATAAGCCTGAGGTACAGAGGGACACCACCATTCAGGCTACAGTCAAGGCATGTATACACCATTAAAAGTAGCTTTCACCTGCAGTATTAACCACTTGCTGCCTGGTGCCTTTGAAAATGCAGTGTCTAAAACCAGACGATTTTCAATATCTTCAGTTTCAAAAATCTTCAAAAATTCATATCTTTTTCCTTAATGCCTAAACCCCATCAAGTGACTGTCAGATGGCTACTCTAATCTGACAGACAACATCTATTGATGCCCAATTATTTCAGCCAGGCCTGCTGCATGCGAGAAAACGTGATAAAAAGCAAACAATGAAAAATGGATAACGAGTTGTGCTGCACCGATGCCGTTCCGGCTCTAGGCACATGCTATAAATTAACTGTACATGTACATACATGTACAGTAACGTACCGTGGACCCGTATCGCGCCATGATTGTAAAAACCATCTGGTGAGAATTCACTGATAATTAACCCAGAACATGCAACAAATGGCATTTCTGCTGCACAACCATTCTAAATTCTCACTACATCCAATTGTGCTTAAATGTATATTCAGATTTAGCATTACATGTACTGTATGTTTGCCAATCTCCGATAGCCACTCCCTCAGGTTCCATATTAGGCCACTGATGTCATAAATGGCCTTGCAAAACGAATTTTGATTGGATGTTGATCACAGTCGGACTCGTGCTTAATCGAAGGCAACTCCAGAGGGAAAACTGTTTTTGCAAGTGCAACGCTCCAGCACGTGACAAAATTTGATTTGCGCAGTGACCCAACTTGCGTTTTGTTGATCATGTTTGATCAAAGCATGATCAAAGTCGTAGTGTGAATACATTGTAATAGAATTTTGCCATATCTCTAAGTTATTTGCAAATCTCTAATAAGAAAATGCTGTTGTCCGTTTGAAAAAGACTTATGGGAAAATTACCCCTTTGGCCATGTGGGCGCTGTCTAATACAGTGGAGCACCGCTATAGCGAACACGACGGAGTCCATGCTATATGTTTGGTACAGCGGTCGTTCGGTATAGAGAAGTTAAATGCCGAACGTTTCGTTGCCATGTTGAATAGGGCCCTCTGTTATCTAACTGAAGTGCACCCTCTTGTGATACTATGATTCACTGTTTTTGTGATGTTTTGCCGTTGCATTCACGTTTGAGGTTTCTAGAACTGTATTTATTAATTACTTTTGTTTTCTTTTAAATCTTGAGTTACAAAATTGATATTTGGTTTATCCTAAAAGTCATGAAGCTACCGCTCAGGATCTATCTCTGATGCATGCTGTGGCGAATCTCAGACGATTTGCTAGTGGATACTGTTTGGAAGGTTTTGTGCACAAAATATTGGGAGCCAAGGACGATGTTTGGTACAGCCGAATGTTCGTTATACATGTAGCAGTGTTAGGTATAGCATTCCACTGTACATCGAAAGTCATGGTTTGGCAGTTGAATCTGTTTCGTGAAAATAAGCAAAACACAATTTGCTCGAAATCTAATTTGATTTTGTATCCTGAAAAGGAGGAAATTCACATTCAGGCATGCAGTAAAATTCTGTTTTCACATATCCTATGTATGATGGTTTTGATGAGTCAAACGTGGTCCAAACACAACCGATTTGGTTGGCAAGGCACATTCGGAAACTGTCACACCTCCAATGGTAACTTTCTGTGGAATTTTAACTCCAAAAAAACATTGGGGGCACCAGTTTAGAAAAAAAATTATGTTCACATCGAAGTTGCTCATGTATGGGGATGGAGAGGAGATTCATTGCTTGTATTAACATAGTTTACACACTGAAGTACTACATACGACCTGGTCGTAGCATGCTCTTTGTCTCAACGTGCATCGCATATGGCATCGCATATATCCTCAAAATATGAACCATTAGATAATGTTCAACTTTGGGATTCATTTTTTCAGTGAACGGCAGTGAATTAATTCCCAATGTCTGATGAAATAGGGAAATCATGGCTGACATCTAGAACAATGATGACCGTGTCCATCTTTTAACTTAATCAGAGATGATTAAAGTCTCAAACATCAGCATTTTTGAAAAAAAGATGCATAGGCCTATGTATTATCTCTACATTTCGAACTCTTAGACACACTGTACAGGTATATGTTGAAGCAAATTTCAACTTACATCATGGTATGAAATGGTACCTTATGGCAAAAGCCCTCACCTCATTTCTAAGTTGGCATTTCTAAATCGTCATTCATTTCTCATAATTTTCAAGATGTGTTTTTGCGTTGTTAATTTATATAACAGGGTTTGCCCTTACCCAACGGACATATTGATAAACACTGTATGCTCAGTGCTTGCTCGAAAGCTTGCAAAAAAAGTCACAAGCTTACTCAGGTGGGACTCAAACCCACGACCTCCTGCTTACTAGTGCAGACATCTTAATCACTCGACCACCGAGCTTGCTGGGGTCGGCTGGCCGGTCCGAGTCAGGTGAAGCAGCGGGCACCGCGAACTATTTTCAAGATGATGATTTCTTATAAGTCGGCATGTTTCACTCAGTCCCTTTTCTACTAGTGTTGGGCAATTCTAGCATTTTTGGAATCAATTCTAATTCCATCCAGGAATCGCGATTCCACTTGGAAACGATTCCAATTTTTACATTTGCGAATGCCATGCTGAGTATACCCGAGACTACTTGCAAAATGCACTTGTAAGTTGTTTCCTAAACACTTGTGTCATTAAAAATTAGAAGTGGCCATGAGTTCTAAAATGCGTATTTGACAAGAAAGAAACATAAGGTATGTACCTTTATTTTCATGCCGCCACGCCAAAAACGTACTGAAGAAATATTTTTTCCTTTAAGTCCAAAAAATGTGACCTTATTCCACTGACGATGAACTATGATAGTTTTCTCAATCTTTTGATTGTAAATTCCATCAACACTGGACTGCTCGCATGCTGCACAGCACCGCTTGCGTCAGTGGCCTGTTCGTGCAATCGCGGGTGAACATACCTAAAGCTACATTCTTCCTATGTGTATGCCCGCTACCAGCTTCAACACAAGGCCGTTAGTTTTGTTCCAAGGCGGAGATGGAAAATTTTGAGACTTGCTAATTATTTTGATCTTCAATTCACTCAACGAGTCGAGTAGAATTTCTTTTCTTTATGGCAGAAATGAAGGAGGAAAAGTAGTCAAAGATTTGTGTTTGGCAGAGTGAATGACAGTAATCATGGTGCATATCTCACAGACTCTAAGATAAGCATCTGCAACGAAACACTTGCACTTTGCAGTCGGCCCACAGCCACAGGTGCGTACGTCCATGCCCCAACAGAGAGCAGTCGATGCAAGCATGACTATTACAAACAGGCATGAACACTGATCTCCACCCGGGCCGATGCCATTGCCGATCTTGCCAGCTTCTCTTTCTTATGAATGCTTTAAGTTTAGTTGGCAAATCCTGGAAATGTTTGACTTTAAATAACTTGGGATTGCAGATTTTATATCAAGGTTTCTGGGATTTGGGGAATTTTCCAAAAGCTGGCATCATTGGACTTTTCAGATGCTTCAACAGTTACTTGCATTTCATGGTAAAGAAGAATTAATGTCGGGCTAAGGGCTGCATTGTTTAGGTTTTTCTTTCAGTTCTGAGCAAATTTTGGTATATGTAACGAAGTACATGTAGGCCTACTTTCCCACCACAGTTTGCTCGATCTTGAAGATTAAAATGTGCCGTCGGTCCAGCGAAAGATTTTTTTTGGAAGTAATAAACACTCCAAGGAATGAGTTTCTAATTGGTGTCGATTCTCAGATGTTACAATTGAGTTTCCAATAAGAAATAGAGGGTAATCAGCAACAAGAAATTTTATTGCAAGGAATTTGGCAAGTGGGAAAACCCTGATGTACGTGTAGTTTTCATCGCTCACAATGTAGTACCCAAATGCTCAGCATGTTAAAGAGTCACAATTGGCATGCAGCCGACAGTAAGCCCTTGTCAAGCTGCAGACAAATGGGACGGAGTACTGCTTGGTGCCGCTGCGATTCTGCAAAGCATGTGGGCCATGTCTCGTCACAGACTTCAGTTTTTGGCAACAAAAGTAAAGCTGCGCGGTTTAGGTTCTTTGATTTGGCATAAAACCACACATTTTTAAAAATAGACGGATCATTTTATATGGCAGTCTTTTGGAATCACTGGACTGTTCATGGAATCAGATCTCAAGGTCATGGAATCAGCGGTGGCGGGGATTTGATTCCTCAAAAAAGTGGAATCGCGACTCTGATTCCAAATTTGGAACCGATTCTACCCGATTCCAGCGTGGATTCCCCAAGCCAGTTTTCTACAAAACCACAAAAAATCCTCCATGTAAGTCGGCATTAAAAATAATGCGCTTCAGTATCGGTTTCCTTCGTCAAATGACAAGCCCCACACTGCTCAACTGATGGATGTTTATTAACTGCATGCATGTGGTTGAGTGCATCAGTACCAAGGACCCCTCTCGGGCTACATGCATGTGCTTTGTCAGTTTTGGGGGTCGCTTTATTGAACGAACTTAACCATTGCGCATGTACAGCTGTTTTCCAATAGTCGACTTCAGCACCGTCTCTGGCTTTAACTGTTTTTACTACCTGACTTTGAAGTTGTAAGAGCAATAGCAAAGATGCAAAAGAGCCAAACATTACGGTTCTTCAAATTTATTTAAACGCTTCAGGCCCACAATCAGGAATTGGTTTTGGAGAAGAAGCCTGAGATGGAGATGAAGTTGAGTATTGGAGAACGGCCATGTACGTGTGCAGTATGACGATCTTGAGTTCCGAGCAAGAGAGCCGACTTAGCTGGTGTTTATTGCACAATACATTACATGTGCATACAGCCTATTGGTTTGGTTCTGCCCCCTAATACTTGTAAGACCCTCCCAGCTGCTGGGGCCAACATTGACTTTGTGGTTTGAGGTTTTTAATGGAGTATTTGGCCCAAATGCAGGGCTCAAGATGTGGTGCATTGACTTCCCTATGTGCAGGTACAGTACATCGTTTAGAGCTTATCGCAATAATTTTCGGCATATTGATTTGCACGCTATCCCGATATATGTGTTTTTACAAACGATACGATATCTGATATCAACATTATATCGAAATATTGAAATATTGTCAAATTGAACAAGCATTCCTCTTACAAATTATCAGGTCCTGAAGTAAGCAGTCACAAATCATTTGATTCTGTCAAAATATCGACTGCAAAAAAACTTTAAAAAAGTGCAAAAAAGCATCCCCAAACCATCATCCTTTATTACTGGACCAATCACATTTTCTTCAAGTACATTCCCGAAAACCGCAATCCAAAATACTGATCGTGTTGATTTTGCAGTTTCGTCAATATCTCACGGTCACGTTTGAGAAATGTTTTGTTGCATCGTGGTCTGCTTGACCTTTGGCATCAACCCAGATAGTGCACCCTCTTTTTCATTCGATATTCATGAGCTCCTCCGAGGAATGGTGATGCTGTGGGATTTTTCTCTTCATACCAAGATTTCTCAAAAGAAAATCTGTCACACTGAATGACGTTCGCAAAAAAATGACTTCCGAGTCATAAAAATACGATTCATGATAAAAATCTAATGCTCAGAGTTGTTGATTTTAATTTTCAGCAGGGATATCTCCAAAATAAGTGACAAAATGAACATCAAGCATGGAATTTTCAAGCACTGCATTGTATTTTTGAACATCATGCATTTTTTGGTCAAAATTCTCTACCGTCATCAAACTTCCGTCAAATGTGATGTTCACAAAGATCATATTGTACTCACAGTGTATTTGCATGCAACTAGGGACCCCCTATTGTTCTCTTTTGTTTTTAACTTTTTTAGAAGACCAACCATATGTTTATACACAGTTGTCAATCGGGAACCCTATGTGAATCAGGGACCTTACTGTCCCCAATTGAATGCAAGTCCCCAATTGAATGCAAAAACAAGCTCACACACGCACACCCAGACTTTGAACTGGTCTGTGGAGGTTAAGTATGTGTGGAGGAGCCCTCAAGCATTTGTGTGCTGCATCCAGGTGCAACAGCAAATGTCACTGTACTGTGTTATCTCAGAGTGCAAAAAGAGCAATGATCAATGATTGTTGTATTTCTTATGCTGACATGTTAGGACACGGACTGTCCTGGTTTTATCACATACATGTAGTCATATGGCTTATACATGTAGTTCAGATTCAGCAATGGGAACATGTCACATGTAATTTTTGTGAGAGGTCAACGAAAGGTTGCAAGACTTCACTTTGCCCGGCCTACATGCATTTCTCACTGTTGTGCCCAAAACTGCCCTGAAATCGGTCCCCTTTTAGTTGCGCGGTATTATATTAACGCTTGCGAATAGTGACCTCAATAATTATATCGGAATGAAGCTTTGGACTTCCCCTTTCAGATACATTAAAGAAAGAGGACTGTTGCTGTAGAAAAAAATGATGTCATGACCTTTCAAAGGTCAGACACCGACTAGCTTCTTCAAAAGTTCATGCATGCACATGTATAGTTGTATACATGTGTGAAAGAGTGTGTACAGTACATGTCGCTGTCTGCATCATGGCGACTTTGCAGCTGTCATCGGAGCCCATGGGAAGACTAACTTTGCAAGAAGTTCTGCAGGAAAATGATGCCAGTGGTTCTGAAATGGAAGCTTGAGATGATCTTCGAAGTGACATTGACGTTTTACAGGTACCATAGTTACAGCGATGTTTAGATCATATTCTTGCAAACTAAATGTCTCAAAGTAAATCCAAAACGATAGTGAAAAACATGTTTGCAATGGTGCTTTCAAAATGTTTGATCATCACTAACAGCATTAATACAGATGATTAGGACTTCTGATCTCTTGATTAGGTTGAATTGTTGTAAACTTGACTTGAATGAATGCTGTATAGTTTAGTTGTGGCTGTGTTTTTGTTGTGTTCATTTCATTTTGTTTTCATGTTGGATTTTCTTAGATTTTTTTGAACAGCCCATTTTGATTTGGCCCAACATGCCCAGTCTTTAGGGGATGGGAGGCAAAATGGAATTGGAAAACTTTTCTTGCAACAGAATGCCATCTCCCCAAAAGAATGCAGTTTTCTTTTTCTTGAATACTTATACATGTACTTACAATTCCTTTCACTTCATCTCAAATTAGCAACATTGGCTTCCCTTCAGTTATCGCTGAATATGCTGCTGTGCTGGCTTTATCAATGTTTTGGGTGACACCTGCCAGACACTTTTCGAAATAACTGTGTTCTTCAATTCTAACAGATTTCCCCCAACCTACTTAATCAGAGTTTCAGTTGAGAGATTACTTGTCATGTACTTGTAACTAAATTTTTTATGTGTATTTTGGAGAAACAAGAACATGCTGCTTAGGAAAAAAAATATGCATTGCAAAGTCTTCGATACCGGAACATAAACTGTTCATGCATGTAACCATATAGACTCATGGTGTAACATGAACTGAAATATCTACACTGATGCTGGAACAAGTTTTGACAGGTACAAAGTTTTTTATTACATGGATCTTCTTTGAAAATATGACAGGGTTCCGTGCAAATGATAGGTAACACACGAAAGTGTAAACATGGTATCCTATCATCTCGGTATGCTTTATGAGGTTTCAATTACTTTCTTTATTGCTAGAACTTCAGAGGGATTAGTGTTAATTCTTTTGTAGGCATATGCTTACTCAAAAACACAATGTTACAAAATTTCTGTTTTTTTAATAACATTCAAGATTTTGCTATGGTTTACTGTTTGGGTGTTTTGTTCGGGTAATTTCTCGTATCCACAAAAGGTCTTTATTTGTAAATACATGTAAATACAGACGAACAGAAAAAATGTGACAGTTCTTGGGTATGAAAAAGAAATTAGTATGTTTGTTATGTGCAGGCCTACCTAGAAATAGTTTTTATTGAAACCACTGACAGCATTGTAGGCAGATCAGGCAAGATCTTATTTTCCTTATTGTTTCACAAACTCTTAAGTTCAGTATAGTTTTGAACAGGGCTTATGACCAGTTGTGGCTGTTGTAAAATGAGAGTACACATTCCTTGAATTTATTATTCTTTAGGCCTGTCTGAAAATCATGTCATTAAACATGTTCAAACCAGAACACATATAGTATGACGTACACGTGCAGTGTGTGAAAATTTTAGTGCCTTTTCCAAGTAGTCCCCTAAAAGTTTTGGGAAAGGACCAATAGTTATCATATTAATATTGATGCAGATACTTCAAGAGCTTGAAGAGGAGTATGGTGCTAAGGATGCTGCTGAATCTCTCTAAAGTGCTCCACATCCTGCGGTTGATGATGTAAGTTTTCCACAATCATGTACACTGTTTAATGCTGGGCACATTAAAAGTGGATGTTTGTTTGCAACAGAACACTTTCCCTTAATACATGCGTCATTTGGCTCCACGCGAAAGCAGTGCCTTTATAACACCTTCAGGGTTAATACAGGAAAAAAAAACCTTCAGGGTTCTCCCCAGGATTTTACAAAACTGTGGGGGATTTCCATTGTGGTTTTACCAACACTTTGCAAAGCCATGGCGTAGGGTTGGGACCCCGCCCAAGGGCCCCCAAAATTTCGGGACTATAGATGCTCTCAGCTGCATTTTAGAGCATTTCCTGGTTTTTCAAGTACCTCTTTCTCAGTAAAAAACATAAATTCAATTTTTTTTTTAATTTTGGATATTAGTATTTTAACCAATGACCAGTTTCCTTTCTGGACTACTAATTAGGCCTGTAGGCCCAAACAATGACAGAAGGAGTCATTTCAGACATGCAACAACATGAAGTGGCTGTCTAATATAAACACCTGTTTATTCAGTTTTAATTTTAATTTTAATACATGCTTCAACCTTTCCGTTTTGCTGATCAGACCTGAAACTATGAGCTCCATTCAGTTGTAATGCAAAAATATTAGCTTAAAAGAAACAAATGTCATAAAAATATGAAACGATTTGGTCTTTATATAAAATAAACAACAAGGCTTTTCTTGTATATCAGCAAGAAACAATACCCGCTGCAGGTGGCTGCTTCGTTTGGGTTTCCCTTAGCGCTTACTACTGAAGTTATTGGCTTAAAAAAGAGCCTATCTTTGATTGAGTTTCTGCCAATGTGCACAAGACAAAACGCGGTGATATGGCAACGAGAAATATCGTCCCCGTCGTAGATGCCATTTATACTCTTACACAGGGCTACGGCTGCCGCCATGAAAAACCAGAACTTGTGTGGGATCGATGTTGTAAGTTCTGCGAATGGTGTAGTATAAAATTGTACCTTTCATAAATGCAGCCCCAGTAGCGTATTTAGCGCACGGCAAAGAGAAAACAAACCTGCGCGCAGGTGCATGTATGACGCCCATGACAGAAGTTCGGATTTCATGCAACACCAGCCACGAGGAACGTTCGGTGCCGATGTACAT